CTCTTAAATTGGAAGTGTATTCCTAAATGTTCTGGCATTTTGCTTACTGTTGCAGTTAGAGTTGTGGTTTGTGCAAACTATTGAGGAGGACCTGGGGGGGGGAAGGGGGGGTATACCACTCCTTTTGGAAGTTAAGCTTTTAGGAACTGAGGCAGAAGCTCACCTCTCCTTGAGGGCCCCTTCCTTGGAAAGTTACAGTACCTTTGTGAACTGGCTCGGATATGAAGATCACAAACCCTTTTGAAAGAATGGAGGTTCAGTCTCTTCATTGGTCAAGTTTTATATGTTGTTGTATCCTACTTTACATGTGGTTTATTTTTACTGCAAAATTACCTAATTCCTAATCTGATTATTTTAAATGTTCACCCTTTTTTGTGATGCTTGCATGTGGTTGGCATAGGAAAGTGAGAAGCTATTTCTCCAGTTACCTGGAATGCTGAGGAAACCAGGATAATTGTAGTTGTGTTATAATTTCTTGGGCTCCGCATCTGTTTTGCTGTAGTTGGTCAGGCATAAAAATGAGTGCCACTCTATTTGCTATTTACTTCCTGAATATGCTTCTCAAGGTGGTGTGTTCTGCAGCCAGTTTGATTTCAGGCTGACTTCTTTGCAAATCGAAAGAAGCTTTTTCTTAAGAAAGGTTTCTTTTCTTTCCTGATGTAGAGAGCACTAGTAAGATTTTTGCCCTTTGCATGTAATCTGATCTGGAAGATTGCTTTGGCCTGTAGGACGTCTTTTTTGCTTTATAACATCTTACAATATCTTTCTGTTGCTGGTCAAAGGGCAAATGATTCTTCAGTAGGATTTTCCATCTATTAGTTCTAAACTTAATTTTAGGCTTTAGGGAACATTTTTTTAAGATGACTTTTGTTTTTGTGTTTGTGAGTTGTTTTGTTTTTTTGCTGCAGTAACCCTGTATGAGTGAATTGCAATGTCATCTGTCTTAATCTTTTCTCTCCAGAAAAGTGGTTTATTGTAATCTCCACAATTGACTTCCAGAGGTGAATACTAAGTTTCACCGAGCAAACCCATTGTTTTCTTGTCTGTGCCCTGCTTTCAGCCTAGGAAGGATAGAAACTTTGTTTGTTCTGTTTGTTTTTATTTACTCTGAAGAATTTAGGAAGTTAAAATAGCTGTACTTCTTTTGAAGGTTACCATAAAGGCCAAGACTACAGCTAAAGCCAGTAATTGGTTAGATGGTTCTCTGCCTGCACTCTGAGTATGTGATAAGCAGGGATCCTAGTTTTCTCTGTTTTAAAAATTCAGAATTCTCAGAAAAATGCCCAAAATGCATGTTTTCCCGCAATTGAAATGAAATACCACTATATATTTAAGTATTCCTTGAACACAGTGTTTTACAGTTATATTTACAGACCCTAGCCCCCCAGTGTGCAGGGAAGGGGGAATATGGGGGGTAGGGGTGGGGGTGCTGGACCTTAGGCCATAGCTAATGGTCCGGTCCATTACTCTTTGCGTTGCTGGTGGTGTGATGTTAGTCCATGGTGGCTGGCAGCGATGGCAGCCACAACTAATTTTTTTACCATTCCATCCTCACATGCTGGGTCCTGCCTGCTGGGCCATGGAGGCAGCTCCTGCCTGGCCAGACTGCAGCCTTGTTTCCACCCCACCCCCTGTGGGCACACAAATCTGGAAGGGGCACATGCCCCCTGATGCGTTGCCTGTGGTGCTTGATCCCTCCCCAGAAGTGCATGCAGCAGTGGGGAGCCTCCCCTCGTCCCTCAGGAAAGCCACCATCCTGCTCCCTGGCTGGGCCCTGCAGCTGCGCATTCCTGCCCTGGCCCAGACAGCTCAGACCACCCAGCCCCAGCCACCAACTCTGCCCTACTCCCTCACCATAAGCCACTGCCTCAGTCTGCCCTCCCCATTCCCTCCCACTCATCATCTGTGTGCGCATACTTACCTGTAGGCAGCTGGGGGAGCTGCTCTCCACCATGCTGCCTGGCTATAGTGCCGACCACACGTGTGTGCATGTGCACATGCACATAGTACTGTCTGGGTCCGATTGGCTGCCTCCTGCTCTCACCAGCCTCAAGCAGCCCCTTGCAGGCTGGAACTCTGCCAGGCCTACAAGGGAAAACCCGTGATTTCCTGCATTTTTTTTCCTTTAAAGGAGTAAATCCATTAACTTTTTCTGTTTAAAAAAGAAAATCAGTGAGGGGTTTTTTCCATGTCAAACAGGAAACCCGGATTTATGGTGATGAGATCAATAGCTTTATTCTCATTTTGTCAGATGCCACTTTTTAGAGAAATGTAGCTGAATCTAGCTTGTCAGCCTGATTGCTCACTGCTAAAGAATATCAAATGGTTTCAAGGGGTCATCTTTCCATTCCATACCATTTTATCATCAGTGTTTCTTTGCTTCTCGGGATGATTCCTTTGGTAGTTGTGTCCTGTTTCTTGACACGTTAAAGGAGCCCTGTCTTCTGGGGGTACAATTTGCTAAATCAGATAAGGTAAAATGTAAGAAGAGAAAATTGATGAGTAAATGGCTTGAAGTTAATTTTCATTGTCATAGCCCCCATTTATATCTCTGTCTCTACTCTTCTAGATTGTGTGCTGCTGCTTGCTTGCTTGTTTTTTCTGAGCTATTTTATTTATAGGAAACTTCTTCGTGGCTTATCAAAGACAGGCAGTTAGCGGTGTTAGTCTGAAGTCAGGCAGATAGGTTGGTACCTTAGAGAATAATGGGTTCAGAGACGCATGGTTTCATGGGTGACAGCCTGTTTCCTCACCTACCAACCAGTTAGTCTCTAGGCCTATAAATAAACATCGTATTTGTCCAGATCGCCAAGATCTGTTATTAACTGTTAAGGTAGCTTTTATCTTTAGCTTGTATTAGCTTATCTAATACTGTGATGGGGGAGGTGGGAAGATGGCACATGCATTCTGTGAATACCTTAGCTTAATTAAGAATGCTAAAATAATGGATGAAAATTAGATCTTTTACACCCATCAAGTAACTCAGAATTGCATTTAAGTCTTTCCTTTTTGCAAAAAACTCCTGTTTGGATGATTAAATAACACCTATATTCTTCTCCAGACAAATGACTTGGGAAATGTACTGAGAGGAACTGACCCAGTATTTTCCCTATATTTAAAACAAGACATACATTTATGAACTAAATATGCTAGCATACAGACAGAATAAGTAGTGGGATTTGTTTTCAAACTACCCCCTTTTTGAGATTAATTAAGCACTCTTCTGGTTTAAAAACCTACCTCTTTGTAGTACAAAACTACAAACAACAAGAGACTGTTCCTAGACTGCAGTTCACTCTGAGCTGTGTAGTGGTCATGGGCAGGTGGTGTCTGAGCCAATATTTTGACAGAATATATTCTTGTGGGAAGAATGAGTTAGAATCTTTAAAACCACTATTTGTGGTATTGTTTGTTCTTTGAAAAAATAAGAGAAATATGGCTCTCTCTCTTACTGTAAAATTTAAAATACAGGGCTAGTGAAGTAAAAACAATTTGGCTTCTGTCTAACGATTTGCGGTCTGTTCTATACTCCCTAAGTGTATTTGAATTACTTGCACAAAGAATAAAGGCCAACATCAGAATAGAATTTCCCTGTTTGATTTATCTTTCCACTCCTTCACTTTATCTATTTTTATATCATCATATACTGTTTTCTTTTTAAATTTTGTTTAATATGCTAGAATATGCAATCTTACTGTATGCTTTTAGCAAAAGTTATAAATTATAAAAAATATATACAGATAAAACATTTATTTGTTTGCATTGTTTTAGCAAAAGGTGTAAATAACCTCTTCTTCCTCAAGGGCCATAAATCTTGCATTTGTCCCGGAAGAAAGCTTTTTGTCCCAGGGTCCTACAGACACAAGTTTGTTGGCCCACTTTTTAAAAATGTCAGACACAAATAGGCTATGATTGACTAATTCAGAAAGACCTAAGTTTTTGCAGGTGATAGTGTACTTCATCAGAGACACAGACACACACACTCCTCTGATGAAGTAAGCTGTTGTCTGCAAAAGCTTGTGCCTCTTTGAATGATCTAGTCTCTAAGACTGCTTACAGAAGAGTGATTTACTTGAAGCTTGATGTGCTCCCACAGGTGCATGCCAAGAAAAAGCACATCACATTAGTTTGCTCTGACTTGCCTAATGTCTGATGTCAGCTTTAGATAAAAGTGCCAAAAAGCCCTGCTGAAGCACCTGATCTATACAGATGCCAGGGAGCTGGGTCAAACTCACGTGCGTACTCCATCTTGTAAAGTGCTGGGGGGTTTTTATACTTATTCACATCTGTCAGCAGCCTAAGGTGCCACCCTGCCCTCCTGCCTTTATGGCTTATTAGGTTATGATAACTCAAGGAAGTGTGTTCTGGCTGAGGATTTTATAAAATTGAGGTATGGGTTTCAGGATGTTTTGCCTGCCTGGTTCTACTAGCTTGTACCCTAAGACTAACACAGGTGGGGGAAAAAAGAGAGATGGCAGCAAATAATTACAAGTAGGTAACTTTCATATTTTAAAATGAAAAAGAAGTGTACATGTTTGTATTTGTGGTACATGTGTGTATCTGTAGTACAGGTATAGTAGAACCCAAATAATTTGTATTGATATGCTTCCCAGCCTACTTAATAGGCAGCAAGTTGCTAAATTAACAAGCTGTTTGCTGCAGCTTTTACTTAAAAGGGTACCACATCTCCAGTCAGGTGGAGCTCATCAGTGGTCTTATGCAGGTGACCAGAGAAACAGCACCCTCTGAAATAAAAGAAGGTTTTCTTCTACAGCAAACAGATGGAATACCATACCAGTTCTTCATAGCTGTTCATTGCAGGTGTATATGTGCCCCCTGCTAATTAGCAAACCCTTTTCTTTATAATTGATTGAAGGACCTGACCCTGCAAAGTATCTAGGTTCTATTTTACTGACAAACTTTTCATTCTAAAGTGATAGAAAAAAAGAAAGAAAAAGTTTGTGAATATCTTTTGCCGTTTTTAATTTCTTGTCTTCAAGGTCCAGGTCACCAGACTTCCAGATTTGAAGATTTCTGTTAACGAATACAACATTAGATCTGAGATTTTGTCTATGGGAATGGGAACTGATAATCCAGAACACATAAAACAACTCCAAAAATTGTGTGAATCTGCTAAAATGTTAGCTCCTGAGAAAAAGACCTTGCAGACTTCGTAAGTGATTGCTTAAGGCTTTTTTTTTCTTTTAATATATTATGTTTTGATCTGTAGAGCTTTTTTATTGTTTTTTTTTTTTAAATCAAGTAAGTTCAAAATGGCCACCCAATTTAAACTTAGCTTGTCCTGGTGCTGACCTTACACTTACAGACCCCCTCCACCAGGTGCAGCGCTTTTACCAGCGTTTGCTGCTGCCAGAGTGGCACAAGTAAATTCTGGTGGGGAAAGGGGTGGGAGGGATGGGGTTGGTTGTAGGTTTGCTGGGGGAGCACCCCACCTGGAGGTCATGCTAGGCCCCTGCCCCCTATCCTGATTTACCTGATATCATGCAGCCATTTTGAATAGATTTAACCTCCCCCTAATGCCCCCAAATGTCTGTACTTAGCCTTGGTGAGAAGCACAAGGAGTGGTGTGTACCTGAATCCTCTGGTGTTATTGGTCAGAAAAGTCACTGAGCTCAAGTGAATAAGAATCACATGCACTCTGAGGAATGTGCATGTAAACAAAACCATTTGAACTCCAGTAATCCTAAGGTC